ATATTTTATTATTTTTTTAACTATGTTCTTATTACTTCCCATCGTCCTATTTTCTCTATAATTACAAACGCACAGTATTGTTCTCATCGCCCAATTGTTATTTTTAAAGTATATTATGTACGACTTAATTAGTTATTCTTTATGTACATTTATTATGTACAACTTGGGCATAAGTATATAAATAGATTTGTCTATTGGATTGATCCAATTTAACAACGTGGGTGCATTCTTTTTCTCCTTGCCCTTTAAAATCCGACGGTTCAATATTGTTTTTATGCATAGCCAAAGCCCGTAGGTGTTAGGTTAATCGAGCGAAAGGACAAGACAATGAAGTATATGTGACGTACCCCCACAACCCCACGAATTGGACCACCCTTTTAAAGTGCAAACAATGTGAGCTATCTCCCTTCATATCTTGTTCGGTTTTACACTTTAAAACGTGCCTCGTCATCAATTGTCGGATACGCCTACTTTTAATTGTTGAGCTTTGGCAAGTTATAATGTTATTTTAAAATAGATATAATGATAAAATTTAGTTTTTAATATTTGTTTAAATGATTAATCTAATTTCTGCTTTTTAAAAATATTTTCATTTTTGATATTTTTTTAGTTAAAATAGTTTATATTAGATGAAAAATTATAGTTAATTAACAGTAAATGCATATCGTTGACATCACATTTTCGCATGTAGTTAATTACTGACGTGATACGTATCATGCCATCACTTTGAGTAATGTCAACTAAAGTTAATCAAATTGCATACGAGTTAATAACTCAAATAAAATTTAGGTCAATTTTAATATAGTTTGATTTATTTTAAATTTTAAATCGTTTTTAGATCATCATATTTGGATCAATATCGGGTCTCGGACTAAATAAATCATTTTTGATCAAATCCTCTAAGCCTAGATAAAGTTGAAGTGTAATCTCGCTTTAGCATTTATTTGAAGCATAGATTAATTGATAAAGAGAACCATTGCCATGAAGCAATTGTCACCAGAGCAATAGCTTATTAACCCTAATCAAATTTCTTAGAAAAACCAAAGAGCAAGACGCTACTAATAACTCGAAAAACCATATTAACTCCGCTATACAATTGCTAATGATAACTTTATTTATTATTTTCAATGCATTAAATTATTATATACAACAACTTTTAAATGTATTTCAAAATTCCTATAACAAAATATTGGACAATTTAAATTCTATTAAGGAAAAAATGAAAAACAAACTTTAATTGGGATATACGCATTCCTCTCTTTTCTTTCAAGACAAATGGGTACTTTCATATCTTTTCCCTTTGAATTGTGTTGACGGATCATGCCAAGCCATTTTCCTTTGGTTCACAATTGCCCAAAGTCCAAAACAGGGGACATCCCAACCCCATTTCATGAAACGAACATGACATTTTCTCCGAACCCGACATATTTTGATTTGATCTTTTAAGATGGGGAGTTTGTTAGAATCTTAATGGGGTTATCTCAATTTTTGTGAGAGGGGAGTTGGATTTACGTTGAAATTGAATTTAAAATAAAAAAAAAAATTAAATTCAACAGGATTTAATATATTTAAAATATTATTATATATTATTTAAGAATTTTCTTTTATATTTAGCAGATTTTCTTCTTTCCCTACCATTGTCATTTCAATAAATTTTGGAAATGTTGTGGGTGACCTTCTTTCTTTCTTTTTTCTTTTAAATAATGTATGTGTCGAAAAAATATTTTGGGATATAGGTCATTAATTATAGTATCATAGAACTCTTCGTGGGGAATAACGAGTTTCATAAAATATATTAAAAAATAGAACTCTTCATATGAACTGTAACAAAAGTATATGGAACTCGTCATATTCTTATGACGAGTTTCAATTATTTATTATATTTTATAAAACACATCATTCTCTCATGATGAATTCCACGTATATTATAACAAATGACTTGCATCCCAAATTAATTCTCAAATATATGTATTTTCTAATTTTTTCTGAATTATTTAACCAATTAAGTCGTCTTCTAGTTTTTTATTTTATTTGTTGTGTGGCTTCGGGAAGAAGCAAAAAGAAACTTGGGTTTCAAAAGTGTAGTTGAATTACTTTTTGAAAAGCGAGTTATAAAAGTGAGTGAAGGAGAGCCTTGCAAAATGTCTTCCAAAAATGCTTAAAGGGTAAAATAGATTTTTTTAATTGATATGACCCAAATTCCTTTTTTTTTCCAGCATCACTGATCAAAATTCAAAACAAAGGACATGAATTGTCTTTGGATATGAAAGAAATCGCATCCCGCCTTTAATTTTTAAAATAATCTTATTAAAAATAAAAATATCTAAAATTATAATAAGGGTTTATAACACTTTATTTTAGTTTACTCAAACAAATAATTGATCCCTTAATTTTATATTATACTTTATAACAATATTATTCAATACATATATATATATATATAATTACGAATATTTATCCATCAGTAAAAAAAAACTCAAATTAGCAAAACCTTTACTGAACACCAAAAAGACGCGAGAGGCACAAAATGGGTAAGTATTTCAATCAAGGACATTTACTCGGTAATAGGTACTAGTTGAAATATATGTCAAAGAGTTTGGATCGACGTTGATGTACGAATGGTTAAAAATCCCACGACACTTGAAGCTAGAAACGCAGAGTATTTCTTGGGGAGTGGTCCATATAGTTTATACATGACCCACGTGATATATATATATATATATATATATATATATATGCATGCATGCATGGATGTTTCCAAATCTCAAATGGCGTCATTGATCAGAATGTGAAAAGATACATCATTATATTGTCCACGTGTCAGCATTCATTTATTCGTTACCTAAATGTTAGGCTGTTACTTAAATTTCTTCATTTCTTCATATTTTCATATTCTTTCATTTGAAAAAAATGAATATGTCCATTAAATAAAAAATACTATTGAATTTAAAGAACAGTTTTAATAATAAAAAGTAAATATTATTATTTTTAAAGAATTTAGATTTAGATAATTATATTTACAAAATGAATATGTGATATGAATTGATTAAGAAAAAAATTTAAACCAATCTACCATTATCGTCATACCATACTATTTTAAAAAAATAAAACTATAATATTCACTTTGATATATTTTTTAAATTTGAAAAAAAATAAAAATGTTTTTAATAGTAAAATAATTACAAAATATTATTCGTTCAAAATATTTCTTATCTATTAATAACATTATCAACACATATTAGGGGTGTACGAATCCGGGTACCGGAACATTCGGGTCGGTGATTTCTCGGCCTGTGTCTCGACCCGGATGTTTCGGGTACCCTGTAATCGGGTACCCAGATTTTGCGGGTACCCGATTTTTTTTTATTATTAAATAAAAAACACATACAAATTTAAATGTTCGAAACTTCAAATTACATAGTCCAACATCGAAACACAAAATTTAAAAGTTCGAAATACAAAATCGAATAATCTATAATATAAATAAAACATAAAAGTTCATAACTCACATAAAAGTTCCAATATCATACAATCAACTTGATACTTGAATCATGAATTGAATTCATGATCATTACTACACTTCTTCATTTGCCATTCTCCGTTCCTACAATCAATTCTTTCATCAGATATAAATAAACCATAAGTTTACAACAACCAATATCTTACGAATATACAAAACGAAAATATTACTAAAGTGAAATATTTTAAAGCAAATTCAAACAAAAATTCAAATAAAATTTGTAAAAAAAAACATATCATCAAACACCATTTAAAATCTTTTTTAAAATAGACCATAGTACTACTTTTAATGGTCAATAGATTAAATGGTTAGTATATATAGAAATTAAAGGAAATACGATCACATAAACAAGTGTTTCAGTGCTAAGAACACTTAATTGAAATGGTGATTACTCAATTGATCTTGTGAGACATGAAATGAAGATAGATGGTTCAAATTCTTTAGAGAGTTGCATATTTTTTTAATTCGTTTTTACGAGAAACTCTTCAATTAAAAGGAGGTACACATCAAAATCAATGCAACCTATAATATTAAAAATTGCACTGCTTTAAATTGGACTTCTAAGTTAAACATGTTCATTAAAAACAGTGGATTGTTACCTCTCCGTTGGCTAATGGGCAGTGGAAACTCAAGGAGGGAGGGGCAACAAGGCAGAACAGCGGGTGGTTCTTACGCTTGAAAAATCAACAACCCAAATATATATTGGTCCTAAAAGAGAGTAAGATAAGTTGAATAAGATCAAATGTGCATAAACAAATGAAATCTAACATGCAAACTGGACATTTGTTTACTTCAATATTTTAAAAATCTCTTACTGCTAGCGGCTTGTGGGTTGGGATCGTGGTGGCCGGTGGGTGCTTACCTCCTTAGATGAGCGACCGGCGACCGCAGCGATGAAGAATGGAGCTTGGCGTGTAGATTGCAACGTGGCCGTTTTCACTTTTGAGGTCTGGAGCTGTTAGGGATTTCAATAAGAAATAATTTGCTTTAGGTAATATTATAACATAAATTAAATATATAGTTAATATATATATAAAAAATTAACCAGGTACTAGAGTAACCGGGTACCCGAAAAAAATCAATTTTTGTATCCCGGACCAGACCCGAAAAGTATCGGGTACCAGGTAATTTTTTTTTTAAATTACCCGATTTTTTTTATCCGGGTCGAGTAATTTTGCACACCCCTAACACATATACATCCTACAAATAATTCTTTGAATTCAAATCCTTAAAAAAAAAAAAAAAGACCTTATCACCACTTAGGTTGTTTAATAGGACGTTTACAAAATATAGTTAAATAATAACTAAATCGAAATAAAGAAAAATTGATAAAATGAATAAAATATTACGCCGTCAAATGTTCCAGTTACAGATTCTGTTAAATGGACCACCGTCAGTTCATCACCCACAGCCAACCTCTCTAAACGGCAAAACAAATCCTCACCGTTCAATTGTTCTCCCTCTCTATCATCATCATCTTAAAACTAACAAAACCAGCAAACGAATGTTCAAAACCAAAAAAGAAGAAAAAAAATTCTCTCAGAAAAGGAAAGAAAAAAAAAACCATTCAAATTCGTTACAGTTTGAGGAATTGCAGTTATGGAGGTAGCTAACGTCGTAGTCCGAACACCAGCTATGGTGCCGGTGGCAACGGGAACAGTTCAGAAGAAACGAAGAAGATTTAACGACGATAACGATGGAGAAGAAGCTGAATTTAGAGTAGCTTCTTCAACGACGTCGTATATCCAGTTAAGAGGCCAGAGAATTTTGGTGGATCATCATCGCGGTTACAGAAATCAGTGTTTGGGCTCTAACTCGGATCATGATGATGACGTGTCATGTTCTTCAACCAGTTTCAGTTCGTGCGAGAAAAGAAATATTGAGTTGCCAGATCTGGAGGTGAATTTTTATTTTTTTTAAATAATAATAAATTCTAGGAGTTTCTGATTCTCGAGCTTTAATTGATGTTATTAAATTGAAGAATTTTTTAATTTTTTTTCCTAGGATGAGAGCATTGAAGATGAAACATCCACGCATTTCAGCAGCAGAGACAGGTTGGTGAAATTAAACTTATAATAAATTATATACGTTTAAATTTATCTATGTTGATATTTAAGTTTTCCTTCTCTCTTGAATTCAAATTTTAAATTTCCTTTCTTACGTTCTAAAATTTTAATTCTCTTCCTTTATATACTCCTCTCAAATTCTTGTTTTCTTCGTCTCCACGGTGAACTGAAGCAGGAGAGAAAAGACGCCGTCAGCAGAGGCTGAAGACATGGATTCAAGGTCGAGGCCATCAGAGCGGAGATCAACGGTGGTGAAGATGCCAACCGAAGCTGAACTGGAAGAATTCTTCTCTGTTGCTGAGGAAAAACTTCAAAATCACTTTGCTGAAAAGTATGTTCACATTTCCTTTCCTTGTATTAAATTTTCTTGGGAACCAAACGGTAATTTCAAACTAAGGAAAAGGGAATTTGTTTGGCTTGACTACTTTTAGGTACAACTACGATATTTTCAAGGATGAACCGTTGGAAGGGCGTTGCAAGTGGATTCGATTGAAGCCATGAAGAAAATCCAACTCACACCGTTAGAAAAATCTATGAAAAATTGCTAAATATAACGAAATTCTGTTCGAATATAATATTTGGTGGTTTTGTGGAAATTCGGAGCCACCAAAGTAAGTTTGTTTCAACTGCTAGAATGTCTGCTGCTTCTTCCTCGTTTCTGGTATGCCCACTACTTCTCTGTATTAGTTAGTTTGTAATAAATTTTTTTTCTTTTTAGGAAATAATTGTGATTTGATAAAGAAAATTTTGTAGCAGCTTCTCTCATTCTGCTACACTTGTTGCTTCTAATTGTCAGTAGTATATTTTTGTAGCATAAACCTCCGAAGAATAACTATTATTGAAATTCTAGTTCATGTTTCTTTCTAATATACATTTTATTTTTTTATTAAGGTAAATGTGATTATAAATTAGTATTTGTTCTAAGTACACTCAATCATTTAACAATGAATGTTAAATCACCCGTTCCTTTAATTATTGAGGTAAGTTGGTTTGTGCCTAATATACATTTTATTGAATTTTATATTTAAACTTATAACTTACCGTAGAATTTATTATAGTCTCAGTGATAAAAAATGTTATTTTTCTTAAATAATTTAAGTTTTACCAATTACATATGCAGGATGTATACATGATCAATAACTAAAAAAGATTTTACATATATACTACCTTATAATAACTAAATTAATATAAGATAAAGTACACAAATGGTCCACGATTATAAGGTGTTGCTTTGTTGAGTCCCCTAATTATTGAAAGTTACAAAATGATCATCCAACTATAAAATATTATTTTGCTTTATATTTGTTATGATTTTTTGTGTATAACTATCAGTATTCGATCCAAATTATAATGAAATGTATATTTCTAAAAGGAAGTCACAAAATTTGATCCAAATTAAAATTCTAAAATCATAATATTATTACTTTAAAAAATAATATTAGTTTAGTTTTAATTCAATTAAACTATCATTATATTTAAAATTTATAATTTTAAATGTATAATAATTTTTAAAAATTATTACAAAAAGGACATTTAATAAAATTAATCACACTTTTTGTTTATGCAACTATAAATTGTCACCACTTTCCAAGACATGGAATAATCAGCTACCAACCTTATATTCTATCTGTTTATATATATATATATATATATATATATATATAGTAGAGACCTCTCTTTTATTTTGGTAATTGAGCCCCTAATTAACTATTTTTCAGTCCAATCACAAAATAAATCATTTTGTCGCGTTTAATAGTGTTCAAATTCAATTCGATCTAAAAAAAATCGAAAATTAATTTAAAAAATCGATAACCGAAATCGATTTAGTATGTTTAGTTTTTTTTAAAAATCGATCGATTCGGTTTCGATTTGAAAATTCAGAACCGATCCGAACCGAACCGAACCGATAGTTGACTATCTCCTTATACAGAACGACACCGTTTCAACTTCCTTGCCAAAAACTAAAACCTAGCCCACATTTTCCAATTTACTCCGCCTCTTCTCATCCTCCTTGAGCACAACCCCTCACTCACAACCCAACTTTTCTTGAGAAAGGAGAGGAGAATAGCTCAAGACAGCTATTTTTTCTTCCGGGTTTCTGGCATAATCCTTCAGAAGAAATGCTTCTTAGAAGATAGTATGTCTGCCTACTTACTGTTCTTATCTCGAAGGAAAATCGTGCAAGGTACTATTTTTGGGGTTTTATTTGTTTATTTGTTTTGAGATAAGTGTAAAACCATATGAAAGCCATTTTTAATCGTTTTTATGCAAAAACCTGCACTATCATCTTCATAATTGAACGAATGGCAGCAGGAAATTTCCAGATCCATGTTAGTATTTCATTCACTCGTCGGATTTTGCTCTAAATTTATAAAAATCTGTTTTTCTGCATGCTCCTGCAATCTTTTCTTCTGGCAGCAGATGTTGAGGATTTATGGTTTTTTTTATTGATCCCCATGTTGGACATTTAATCTTTACCTCTTCCGTTCTAGAACACCATGGTCAAGGTCAAGTATTTTTTTAAGCGTACCTTAGGATTTAAGGTGGAAATGTAGCCTCTGCCTTTCCTGAACAGTAATGTTGAGTTGTGCATTAACTGATTAAGCCAACATTAACATTGTAATATTGTAAGTGATGATTTTGAAAACTATATTAGTGTATTGAACGTTGAAACCCCCTACCTGATTCGGCTATGCCCAAATTTGTGCTAGCTAATAAGTGATGATTAATGCTTATATGTACTATCAGCTTCTCAGAGAACAGAGCTTATACAGGCTACGCTATCTACTTTTAAAACTTGGATTAAAAAAAAACAATGTGCTGGCAGTGTTGTTACTTGAATTATTTTGAAAAATTAGAATTTAAAAATCGTATAAATTCAAACCGAATCAAGTTGCACTTAATTGGATCGGATCGGATTTTTTTTAGAAACATCCAAACTGATCCAAACCGTAAACATTTATACTTTTGGATCGGATGATTTTTAGCTAAAAACCGATCCAAACCGACCGCAAACACCCCTAGTCGTGTCAACTATATTCCATTACTACCTATCATCGTAGGCATGACATGATATTTTCTTAAGATAAACGAATTTAATTATTAATTACATAAACAATACTAAGGTTCAAGATACAATTTGAGATTTCAAGAACAAATAAAAAAAATAACAATTGAAACCCCAATGAACAAAGGCGTGAGCAACATTATTTGCATCTCAGAGGATGAAAGCAACTTTAATCACAGAATATAAAGAGATGAATCATCGAGCTTCAATCAAATGGATACCTAAGATTAAGGGATCAGAAGAGGTGGTGGCCAGTCTTTGCACGATGCTCAACGCGTCTCCTTCAATGATGATATCATTCCAGCCGTTTTCTATAGCTAAAGAAATGCCTTCAGTGAAAGCTTTAGCCTACACCATTTCAGCTGAAGGGTAATCATCCAGTCTACGAGCATGACTACCGATCACTAATCCGTGGTGATATTTGGCTAAAATCCCTAAGGCAACAGTCTTAGAGTTCGCATGTCAGGAACAATCTACATAGATACGGTGATTAGTTTAGGGGTAAGCAAAAAAATCTGATCTGATCGATCATATCTATTTATCCGTTGATCCGATCCGGAAATTTTGATATTTGATCCGTTTTTTTAATTTCTAGATAATTCAAATTGGATGCCCGAGATTAAAATCAGATAATCAGATTAAATACGGATCGAATAAATTTTAATCTCGGATTATCCGACAAAAAATGGACCCTTAAAATATTTTACCCAGACCCAACTAAACCAACCAGCTAGCCCGCCCCTAGCCTGAAATGTCCAACGGCTCAACCAGGTCTTATAACTATTGACCAACCCAGTAACCGCAGGTGCTGTCTCTACACACGGCTTTCTCTTGCAAATCCCTTCATTTTCCCAATACCAAAAGCCTCCATGTCCTCTCTTCACCACCCAATCGTCTGGGCCTTATAAGGAACTTCATTACTTCTCCCACTGCTCTTAACATGGATTATCCATCTCTGGTTTGCCATATATTTTGAGCACTACCCCTTGCCTTGTTTTTATATCAAATTTATTCATTTGTTTTGTACACTAAATTAAATTTTTTTTAAAAGTTGAAATATTAATTAATTTATGATGAATTTTCAAATAAGATTTAAATATTTTAGGATTGAAATGTCTTCTTACGTAAGAATCACCTTTCAGAAATCTTTCTAACGTATTTTAAAAGTCACTATATAAACAAATTCAGATTTTAAAAGAATTATGAAAATTCAAATTCAAAATTTTCAAACCTGCTACCATCCCTATATAATCATCACTAGTCATCCGCCCGAACAATGGCAACAAGATACTGATTCAAATTACTCAAACATAATAAAGAATAAAAACATGGTTAAAAGTCATGGCCAAGTATTCGATCCTACTATATAAATCCAGGCACATGTTTTTAGTTTTTATTTATACAAAGATGCCACTGCTGCAGTTATCGAACGCTCCCTCCAGCCGTAGGTCGGACCTCTAATACCCGCCGTAAGAAGTTCTCTTCATCATCCTCATGAACTCTTCGATACCTACCTCCCCATCATCTTCATTCACCAATCGAACATTGATTAACATGTTTGCTTCGGCATAGATGAAGTTTAACAAGTTTATGTAAAGAAAATCAGGCTGGTATTAGTTCAAGTACAATTTAACTAAACTGACCGACACCAAAGTCAAATCAGTTCGGTTTAGTCAGTTTGGTTTGGAAGTTCGGTTTAGGGTTAGGTCAGTCTATCACCTGGAACAAAATTGTAAAAGCAAAACAATCATAGAGCACCGTATCAAGATTCGAGAAGCAAGGTTAGCTTACGATCTCAGTCTGCTTCTTCGATCATGTCTTGAATATCCTTGTCGGAGAAGTGTTCACCAGGCTCCTTTGCAATGCGTTTAACATCTTCAGGAGATATCTTTCCCTGAATTCAAATGAAGAATCAATCTTTCCACCAAAACAACTAACAAAATTCAATCTAAATAAATAAAGCCGCATCTTTACATTGTTATCATGATTAATGATTCGGAATGCTTTCATAAGCTCTTCTTTAGTGTCGCTTTCGCCAATCTTGGCAGTCATCATGTGCACAAATTAATCGAAATCAAAGGCACCACTGCCATCCTTGTCAACATCCGCAATCATTTGATTTATTTGCTGTTGTGGAACAGAATATCAGAACATAAGGATCCCGAGGGAATCAATTTGATATGCTAAACTTTACATCATTTAAGAAACAAAAAGGAAATCAAACATTCAACCAGCATTCTCTGTTACAAAACTTACCTCTTCTGTCATTTCAAAACCGAGAGCCCTGTAATGGTAAAACTTTCAGTTCCAACGTGTTGATATGAACTAAAAAAACTCTCTTTTGCAAACATGAAAAATCAGACACTAATACCCATACCTCATGGCAACATTCATCTCTTTGGCATCAATGGTACCTGGCCAACAAATTCAAACCCATAATTTAGTAAAAATGCCGAATTCGTATCTCATATACACCACCGGTATTAAATGAGTCATTCCATACCCGATCCATCGGTGTCAAACAGTTCAAAAGCTTCCTTAATCTCCTACCTCTTCTGTTGGCTTAATCCATGGTATCTTCCCTTCGGCTTGTCTTTCCTTGACGGTCCTCTGTAAAGACTAGCCAGATCAAACATTCATTAAAGATGATCAAGACCAATTCTAGTTCCAAAAATGTTTTACTACATCATTCTCTTACTTGTACTCGCGTGTGAGTGTCAGATTTTATTACATGTCCGACCCCTATGTTAATTTTTTTTTCTATGTATTTGGAAGACTCTTGGAGGATTATATCCGAAAATATGTTGGACAGAAGCATCAGAAACTGACACTTATGCAAAATGAAGATCCAGGTCCGGAAAAACATAGAAATTTGCAAATTCCGCAAGCCATGGACAAACGACCAAACACAAAGAAAATATTAACCGCCAAATTGTTGAAGTTGAAGGATTATTCAATAATTTCTTCAATTTCCAGAGACATTACTGAAAAAGTTTTTTAATTCCAGTTTCTGCTAATGCACCACACATCTCATCCATTTTATCATTATTATAAACACAAAATTTCACAATTAATCCCAAATAAAATCTACGAAACAGAAGGAACAAAAATAAACGTCGAATGCTATTCAATTTAAAGCAAAGGTGAACACGACGATTCAGAAAATATCAAAAACCCTAATCATTAACAATAGTAAAGAAGAAAAAGCACAAAGAGAAGTATAATTATTGAATAGAATTAAGTAAATTGAATCTTAGGGATTAATGCGAAGAACATACCATTAATTACTGAGGTGAGGTCGAAAACTAGTTGAAGAAGAGTCCCCAAAACTTGGAAAGAGAAGCAATTGAAAGGACTGGACTTGAAGATTTTAGCTATACGAAAATGAATCTTTAAGCGGTTGTTTGATCTTTCTGTTGACTCCATGAATAAGCAAACCCATTCTTAACTGCTATGACCTGCTAACTGCTATGACCTAATAATGGGCTTCATTGTCCCTGTATTAACTAGATTTTTGCTCTTTCGCATTTTAGGGATTGGGTTTCACGAGCTAACAAAAACTTACACTATGAATCCTTTAGGATAAACTACATTAATAGTCATTGAAGTATGAGTAAATTTTTCTTTCAACACTAAAGGTAATGATTTGGTCACCCACATTATTGTTTTATAATAAATTGATCATTTGACCGTTAATAATTGTTATTAGGAAACGAAATGCTAATGTGACTCGTTAAGCTGACTTACCTGTTACCATTTGACCATGCGGGACTGTAGGCTTATTTTTAATTTTATGAAGTAAGCAAGCATTTGATGAAGGTTTTTCCACCAAAATCTAGTGTTTTCCTTTTAAAATGGTTGGGAAAGTTAATTAAGAAATGAGTGGCAAATAATGGTGAAGCTCATTGTAACAAGATCCATCATGTTCCTTGAATGGACCCATTTTTGGTATCTTCATCCAATGAGCCAATAACTAAATAGTGTGAGCACTAAGCGGATGTTGGAAGATGGAGTAGCGATCATGAATTGCACCCTTTTTTTTTCTTACATGGATATGCTTTCTGTTAGTGGGTTCTTCCTTGCTGTCATGTTGGCACCCTTTTCCCAGCTAAATCCCACTTATGGTGATCTGTAATTTGGCTTACGTGGGGGCATATATGAGAGGCTGTCAAAGTTAGGGTCAAAATTGATCATGCAAAAGTGTTCTTTTTCATGATGGTTCACAAGTAGAGATGATATGAGAAGCCAACAACTCTTCTTTTGGGCCTCAAAATATATTTACTCACAAGTGTTTTATTTTCGGTTTAAAGACCTTTAATATATTTTAACATTTTTTTCATACAACCTAAACATTTTATGTATAGTGGCAAGATTCTGCTATCATGTTTATACTATACATAAGTTGCAAATTTAGTTCCTATAAATTTAGTCCCTATAATTTAGTCATATTATTCATGTATCATTTGGGTTAAAGTAAAAACTTTAAAAGTGTAGGAGCTGAAATTAACTAAATTGGAGTATAAGGACTAAATCCGCAGATTAAGTATAGTAAAGTGGAAATTAAATGTAAAAACAAAGGTGCTAAATCTGTGTCTGGCATTGAGAAATAAACATAAAAACTTGGTAGCCTAAATTGCCTTCAAAATGAAAACAAAAATGATTAATTTGTCTGCCCCTAAATCAAAGCACGCGGGAGGAATTTCTTATCATTGAGTCACACAAATGACAAATCTGTCTATATACGGACCAAAAAATTAAATATAAGGAAAATTTTCATATATTAAACGAATTAAAATAATTTTATAAATAATTATCGAATACAACAATGTTCTTAGAACTTTGGGAGAGAAATGAATTGACTTTTTTCTTGACGTAGAAGGAAATATATATACAAAAAACAAGGTGCAAACATGTTTTTACTGGGCATGGTTCAGACAAACTACGAAACCTTAAACTAATAGGGAACAAAATAAAAGATAAATGAAGTTGTGAAAAGTCAATCTAGCAGATATTTTAGTTCATTCAATGTCCGGATTTTTCTCTTTTCCTTTCTGGAAATTTCTAACCAAATTTACCAAACAAAAGACAGTTCATGTTTGGTTCTTTTACATTGATAAACAACTCTGCTTTCATCGCTTTTATTTCTTAGAATTTGATCCTCAAAACCTTGATGATCATATCAAGTTATGGAACACATCCATCCATCCATGATCCATCCATCATCGTCGTCGTCATGAGCTTTGCCTCACTGAACAAGCAACCAGCTGCGCCCATTGCCGCAGCCTTGTCTTCACTGTCTGTGGATTATCACCTTCAATCACCAAAAAAAAGGAAACCAAATATCAGAATAAAAACAAGTTACAAACAAAACTCAAGATCAAACGAGTTGAATTCAGGACTCACCAGGGCCAACAATGGAGCGGGGGCTTCCAATGGGCGACGAAATACTCTCAGAATTCGAAACAACCGAAGGATACGCCGTGGAAGGCTTGGAGATGATGGTGTCGTTGTAGTTCTTATTAACAGCATAATAAAGACCCAAAGCAGGCAAAGTATCAGACAAACGTTGGTCCACCTCAGGCGAATCGAACCCGAACCCCAACTCGAAACACGCCTTGAGCTCGTCCAGGTCTTCATCCGTCACGCTCTTGCTCCTCCTCTTCTTGCTGTTCCCTTTCCTTCTCAGCCACGCTTCGTCGCGGAATATGTCCGGCGACCATGACGGGTGCTTGTAAAGCGGAACAGAAGGTGGCATCGACATCAAAGGTTGCGGTGAATCATGAATTGATGGTAGATTTTGCGGTGGTTGCGGTGGGGACATAGACAGAGGTAGCAGCCCCCTGAGAGAGGTGATTTGGTTTGGGAAAGTGAGGGGAAGGTGATGGAGAGATGGGTTAATAAGGTGGCGGGGTTACAACTGGTTGATCCGAGTCAGGATGACTTGTCTTTTTCACCATATTTATTTAGTCTTAAAAGATGGGTTAATTGTTCCTTACAAGTTTTGTGTTTTTGTCTTCTATACCAGGTATCTATCATCTTATTGTTATTATTATAAACATATGGGAAAAGATTGCTTAATTAAGAGAAAGTTGATGTTAATCAATATTTCATTACAAGTTTACTTTACATTTATACATTAATCTCATCGATTAAGGGACTAATATAAAAAATATATTTGTTACATTTAAGAACAAAATTAGGATCAAATATTGAGAGGGATGAATTTCTATTAAATATTTAAATAAAAGAATTGGAAGGAACAAATGACTTATTTAATTAATATTTAAACTAAAATAACATCAAAATATTATTATACCAAATATTTGGGGAGGAACTGTTGGTTACATTCCTTCTCATTTTTTTCGTAAGATTTTTTGTGTGTCAAGATTTTTAGAGAATATCTTTAGACAAAGATTTAGATATTTTGCATTCATTGAGAAGTCGTGACCTCTTAAAATAACCATTTAAAATGACTTTCGATAGGCAACACATGATTTTCTCATGAACAAAACTAATCGACAACTGACCATATCAATTAGATTTATGAATCTACGAGTAATAACTATGACTATGTGTTTGACAAAAACAATAAAAATCTCTATGTATAAATCCTCATAATGAATTAAGGGGACTTCTTCTTCTTCTTCAGATTAGAGACGATTATCACCTTCGACATAGTACTATATTTCAAATCACCGACCATGATTCATTAGTCAATTAAAAAAGACGATTATCTTCTTCTTCATCATCATCTACTTCTTTAGCTTTAAATTAGAGATAACTATCATCTTTCACAAAATATTATTTTTCAAATCATCGACCGCAATTCATTATTCAAATTAAAAATGATGAATCATCAACAACTAACGTATTTAATTTATTTCTACCAACAAAATCTACGAATTAAATTAAAATTTTAATGTAATTGAGAAACTATATATTATTTAAAAGCTCGTCGATGATTGTTACCTTAAATCCATAATGTCATTGATGCGTGTAGTGGTAATAGTTTATCTCTGCTTGGTAATATAATATGGGATTGAAGCAATATCCAAATTAACACTAGAGATAAGGATTATTTTCCTCCACAAGTTACAAAAGTGGTATAATTATATTTCACAATTTGACTAACCAATAGTGATTTCTATTAAATTTAAGTACATTATATGTACTTGAGTACTTTATTAATTATGATTTGCAAAACAAATATGTCAACATAAAGCATTGGTATGTTGGTTTAAGTGTAACTATGACCATTGTCATATATAAACGACTGGACTTATTAGACACATCCACTTTGGGAAGGAAAAAAATAAAATTATTTTGAATATAAAAGTTGGTGGATTTTTTGTGAGGATTTTATTATAATATAAAATGTGGTTATTTTCTAAAATATAAAATGAATCCATAACTTTATTTATTATAATAATTACATTGGCTTTTTTGATAAATTATTATGACAAAATGATAATAATTGTTTGTTTTAAAAATTTAACATATCATAATATAGTTTTTACCCTAAAATAAAACAAATTATAGAAGAGTTGTTCTGTTGTGTGGTTGTCTAATTTAAAGTTAATTTAAGAGGATTTTAACTTAAAATGTTATTATATTCAATTTGAAAAGTATACAATTTGTAATTCTTTTTGTTGTAACCAAGAAAGTTACATAACGGTGGATTTAAGATTTACAATCGAAAAAGTTAAACATTTTATAATGATTCCGATTACAACATAAAATATTGTGAAGAAGATATATTTTTAGTTTCAACCTAAAATGTTGTCCCGTTCAATTAAAAAATATATATTTTTAATGATTTTTTATTATAAATTAATTTATAATAATTTGTTTACCTTATATTTTGGCAAGTATGTATCAATACTAGTTTATTTCAATGTATCATCTTGAATTTTTTTTGAAATATTTAATATGTATAATACGAAAAGAAAAAAAAAAGGATTTTCCTTTCATCAACGCTCTTTTCTTTAAATGGTTGAATAGTCAGTAGAATGGGAAATGGTTAGATAGCTTTTTATAAAGGGTTTTCATTTGGGATTTGATTAGGGTTTTCATTGATAATGTTGACTTAAGCAATACATTTGAATGGAAGTTTCTGTATAATCATCAAAAGTCAACATTTCAATTGCAAAGTTCAAAGATATTTCCTTGTGATCCCACCAAAATGGTTGGCAAATTTCTTAAGTAGGGTGAGAAAAAAAGTAAACTTTTTCATTTGGGGTTATACAGATTTTATTCTTTCAAAATGGGTAAATGTTTCATTAAATGGAATCCTTGCTCCCATACTAAGATGTGAATAAGAAAAAATGAAAAAGAAAAGTGGAAGACATTATGGTGCAATTTTAGTGGTCGATGATTAAGTTTATTTCAATAAAAATCTTTATGGAATAAGGATTTTCAGTTAGCAATCAAGATAATTATTTTAGATAGATGTAATTCTTTTGTGATCTGTGCACGTTTTAGATATTATGTTTTAGAAATGTGTTTTGTAGGGATGTTGGAAGAATTTTGAGATAAATTAGGTTTTGATATGTATACAAAATTTTAAGATACATAAAATAGCATGTATTTATATTCTTCATGATCATATATTTATAATAAAATAATATTACTTTTATATGTGGAGATAGAAGGATTAAATCACGTTAAATCTAATCTCTTGTATACAACCTATTTTATATTGATCTCACTTATTTCCTTTCCACTTAGAAATTCCTAAAACAATATTTATATATATATTAGCACAACACCAACCCATTACGTACATGGTATGGCTTAATTAAGTAGATCAAATATTAATGCATGCATTGATATTAAAATTAAAAAACCAAATTAAGGCTGTGAAGGATCATATCAACATTTTTAATGATCTTCAAGAACAACAAAGAAAGGGAAAAGGACCCAATTATTTTTTCGTTAATTAGTTGGGTACCATTTTTATTACACTTCGTTTATAAAGTATTTAAACTATTCTATACATTATAATTATCTTTAAAATATTATATATGTAAATGATTTTTAGAATAATTTGTGTTAAAGTTTTATTATTATTTTACTCACTTACCTCACACATCAATTAAGTTTTAATATTACATATCATAATGAAAAGTATTTGATTATTATGCCCCACTATCAATAATTGCGAGCATATGCCACACGTCTATTCTGTAGCCTATAAAAAATATACAAAAATTGTCGAACTTATCCACAAACTTGTCATATTTACAAATTACATAATAACTTAATATGCACTTTTATAGTTCTCCAATCACCATGTTATATATGTGGTAGAAAAACTTCTGGCGGCTGCCAACAAATAATTATTTTTCCAACTTTTATTTGTCCAAAGATTATTGGATTTTCATAGATTTATTATGTCAGCTCTCAAATTTTGTATAATTTATGCTATATAAAACAAGGCTATAATACTGATTTTATATTATTTTGTCATTTTTATCTTATATTTATATATTACTTCGTGTTTCATGTTTTATCAAAAAAGGGTAAACTACCTATTTGATCACACAGCTATTACTTGTTTTTATTTTGATCCTTTAATTATTTCTTTTAAAAATCATATCAAGTTTAAATTTTATTTCTATTTGGGTCACAAGTCGTTAAGAAATTTAACGATGATACGATATATTTTTTCTATTTTTTAATGTTAACATGTCATTATCTTATAATAATACGTCAACATCATCATTAATTTTTTAAAAGGGAAGGTGATCAAAATAGAAACAAAACTTAACGTTAAATATAATTTTAAAAATAAATATAATTGAATAACTGAAATAGAAATTAAGTAATAGATGGGTGACCAAATAGTCAATTTACCCATGAAAAATTGCAGCCTTGAAGGGGGAGTTGATGTCAACGTACCTTTCCATGTAGCGTCGATATTATTACACGAAAGATGTGGGTCAAATAAGAGTATGATTATGTTTTATCATTCTCCTTGTAAAGGGTCATCAATACCAATTATTAAATTACCCATTTCTTATATTTGGTCGGCCAAACCCATAATATTAATTATCTGTTTTTCTTAACCAAAAAAAAAAAGCTTATTCTTTTTAAGAGGTGTAATACATATTAAGGTATTATTTATATTTTGAGCTTTTAGTATCAATATTGTTGAATGAATATTTATAAAATTAACTGACCCTTATTCTCATATGTAATGGGATAAGGGGGAGGTATGATAGTAGACTGGCCCCCAACGCCAGGTTGAGAGCAACTTCCGTAGGAGACATCCAAATTATGAAATACCCTCCGTGGGACTCGATCCCACGACCCCAAGGTTAAAAGTCTTGTGCTCTACCAACTAAGCTGGATGGTCATTTCTTGAATGAATATTTATACTTACTCATAAATATTTATCATTCAATTACTTGTATCGATACTTTGAAGTGATAAAAAGCATTGAGCCTTGATTTAGTATAGATACTAGGAGTTAGTGTCGATATCATAAGTTCAACATCAATACTCAATCCTAATATCGATACTAAATTAGTATATTGAAGTTTAATCTTTAATTCATTATAAGGATGTTCTTTGGCCAATACCGATACGAAATATTAAAATTTAGCTCTTAAACAAGTTTAAAATTCATTCAAACTTTATTTAAACCATATACAACATATGATGATTCATATCATCTCAATTATACACTAAGACACCAAAATCACCCATAATACATCCAAATACATGAAACATTAAAAACTACTCATAACTTAATTCTCAAACATCATTCTAAATCAACATCTAAGTAACACCTAATCTTTCATACCTTTTAGTGAACATCAATATAAGCACTACTCTTATAAGATATGAACTTTAAGTATCATCAATG